TTTTGAATAGGGCTCTGGGAGCGGTTGATCTGGAGATACTCAGTCCAAAAGTTGGTCCCCCGCGTTGATTAACTCAGGCCAGGGCTTCTAGCCCTTGATCAGTGACATTTAGAGATTTCCCGGTTGTTTCATTGTCTTCTATTGAGTTCTTCCCTTGGCTAATCTGCAGCTTCCCAGGTGTTAATTGCTGCCTGCTGCTACAGCGTTACACATTCAGTCACTGATTCACTCCAGGAGCCAGCCTGATACAGGGAAGGGCAGTTTGATTCCTGCCCTTGTTAACATTGTTACAATGTATAACTTACTTATGAAACTAAACACATTTAGTTGAAAGGTGAGGAGTATAAAATATAAGCTACAAATGCCACGGCACACAAATAGATAAAAATACCAAACTACAAGGGGAGATACAAAATGTGCACACAAATTTTAAAACACAATTCCTTATCTTAAAGTGAAAGAGAGAGGAAGGAAGAAAAGGTAGAAAAAGAGAAACATATCCAGAGGGGAGAGCAAATGCAGGCAAGAGGAAAAGGGGGCTTTCTGCTACACCTCCATGGTGGTGGCACCCCGCAGGCAACACCTGCCCTCTAGCACCCAGCCCAGGCAGTCGTAGGGGGGCACCACCAACGCGGAGGGAAGCACTGGGTCCCGCGCACCTCGGGCTGTGCGACCCAGCAGTAACTTGTGCAGGCAAGTTCCCCTGAGGGGGGGGGGCGGGGAAAAAAAGCTGAGGAGCCTGATTTTTTTTTTTTCTCCCCTCTTGGTGCCTGAGCTGCGCCGGGCCTGGTGCTTCCCTCCACAGCTGCAGCACCCCCTGGGACCACCCAGGTGGGCTGCTAGCGGACAGGTGCTGCCCAGGGGGTGCTGCAGCCGCGGAGGGAAGCATGGCCCTGTGCAGCTCAGGCAGACAGGCAGGCTCTGGGAGAAAATTAAAAAAATATTAGTCTCCTCGCTTCCATTTTTTTTCCTCAGTGGAGCCTGCCTGCATGAGCTGCCATCAGGTCCCACAGCCCCCAAGCCACGCGGCGTCTGGTGCTTCCCACCTGGGAAGGGCTGGGGTCCCCTGCAACTCAGGGACTGCTTGGCCTGCCAGCAGCTGGTCCCCCCAGCCGTGGGAGAGACAGGTAGGCTGCAGCACCCCATGCACAGTCCCTGCCATCTGCCCGCTGCCTGGGACTGCCGAGGAACAAGCTGGCTTGCCCCTGGGGCAGAGCGGCAAGGCAGCAGGAGGGCAGCTGGGTGTGCTGGTGGCGGGAGAAGGTGACAGGGACAGTGCATGGGGCTCTGGAAGCCCGCCAGGCCCGAGCTTCCCCAAGCACGTCAACTTACAGACACCCATGCACCATCGCGCTTTGTTATGCAGCAAACTAAAATACCTCGGCTGGGTTTTACCTTGTGTCATATTGAATTAAATAGTTTGAATGTTTGTAAAGGTTGCCCATTAGCCAGTTTCAGGAAGAAGATAGGATTTATCTCCTTATCTAGCTCATTGTTTTGGGGCTACGTGCAAAATGTCCTGACTTCACTTAAAGCCTTAACTTAAATTGTATCTTTAGAAGTCTTTTACAAAGAAAGCAAATATCCTGAATTCCGAGACATCAAAGCCTAAGGCCTTGTAACCAAATTGCTAAGAAAAGGGTATTTACAGTGATATGGAAGAAGTCTCCCCAAGAGTAATTTAAAATGCTCAACAAAGGTAATTTCTGTTGAGAAAGATCCGAGCCCAAATTCAGGAGTTATGATAAGTTGAGTAGGAGGAGCCCCACTGACAGCAGCTCACTCAATAAAAACCTGTAACTTACTGTCCCAATTTGGAGGTGACTTCACTTGCAGAACAACGAAGGAAGAATCGCAAGTGTAAACTCGGATTAGATTGATCACCTAATCCAACCTCTCCGTGAACCCGAATCTCTTAGTTCATGCTGAAGCCGCGGAGCACCTGAAAGGGACTGAAGGAAGGGGACGTAGTCCTATCACTGGTGAGCCCAGCTCATTGAATCGTATTGCTGAGGCCAGCCCATTGAACCGTACTACTGAGGCCAACCCATTAAATCGTACTACTGAGGAATTAAGCTATATTTTGGTATTTGGCTTCTCGGAATTCTAGGATTGTAAGTATATTATGAAAAATAATAGTATTGATTCAAATTTAACTTTTAGTTGTAATTGTAGTTGTTTTTGTAACACTAATTCTTATAGCATTGTTTGGGAAGGAAGTGCATTCGGAGCATTGTTTCTGATATATGTAATTATTGTGTTTTTAATGTTTGTGGTGTTTCTTAAAGCTAAGCAGTGTTATATACGTAGCAAAGAGTTTTAAAATAAAATTGTGTTATATAAATTAAGTGTGTAATCATTGTGAAATCGTGCAATCAGCTAACAACTCCCCCAGCCAGTGCATCAAAACGAATCAGTAAATTGTGTGGGATTTTCTCTATTCCATAACCCACTAGAGACACCTTGCTATGTAGTAAAGTCATTTAAAGCAAAATACGCCACCAAACATGTACATCATCACAAAATTAAAGTGGAATACGCTGCCAAACATGTAAATAGCAATGCTGTTGAAGCGGTGCAAAAGGGAAATTAAGATGCTTTTAAGGCAAATTTTGTTGTGTATACAAGCACCCAAGGACTACAGCAGCCACAACTGGCCCCTTTATACTTTAGGGCAGTGGTCCACAACCTTTGACTCTTGGACAACTCTGAACAAGTAACGTGCAATGGGCAACATCTAAGGTTGCTCTCCCCTTCAATCTCAGTTTTAATTTTTTAATTTTCTGCAGCCATGAGCAACACAAGCCACTTTAGGGGGAAGGTTTGAGAAGTATGACTGAGTGATAAGTCTTCAGCTATTCAAAGTTTTCTAACTTTCTCAACCTCTTTCGATCTATGACGCACATATTTACTTATTCTTATTGACTGAATGGACAGACTAAGTGTCCGTGCTAGTTCTCTTAGATCTCCAAGTAGCCTTTGATGTTATTGCTTATGAGCTTATGTTGTTCATCCTAAAGGAGAGGATCAGATTTGAGCACTTTCTGTTCTCTTTACAAGAATTTCTAACAGGTACTATTAAACATTGTTTATCCATACTTAGTCAGTCACTACTCCTGTTCATAGTGGTACTACAGATGGCAAAACAAGAGCTGTCATGTTATTACTATATATAAAGACAAATTGAAACCCAGATATTTCCCCAGCATCTGACTGAGAGGGAGAGGCTTGTGAGTGAACTAGTTAAGATCATTCCATTAATGCTGGTGAACTGACAGAAAAGGCTATACAACTTGATGGAGCTGGTTTCTGCTCCCTCTACCAAAGCAACCTGTTCACACCTAACAGTCACTGTCTGGGGATACTTGAGAGCTGACTGTTTCTTGCTTCCCAAGCACCAGAAGCACCTTTTCTCACTTGTAAAGCACTAGCTTCCAAAACCTATCCAAGATGGAAAATGTCTCTAGTCCCAGCGTGCCTTATGGGGGATTAAGTATATTTAGTCTCTATAAGCCAGAAACTGTCTGATGTGAAAAGAGAAAGGAAATTTGGCAGATTAGTTTTTAAAGTTCCCCCTCAGATAGCGGGTGGGGTGTAGGGCAGCCTGCAAAATACCCGAGGCAGCTAGAGTTGCCTTGTCCCTGATGCTGTCTGGCAGCAGCTACCCGGAACAGCTTGCAAGCTATCCTGTTCCTCTTGCCACCAGGCAGCAAGAGAGGTAAAACAGCTGAAGTGGTGATAGGGCCTGATAGGGTGGCAAAACCCCCTCCAGTCATCCCCCTCTACCCTCAGATGCTTTGCACCTGGTCCTGGGCTGCTCACCCCTTAAACTTCTTGGTGCACAAGCAGCCTGGAACCAGGAAATGCCAGATTCTTTGCCCAAGCATCACCTGGCTACTGTATAGCAGCCCTGTCTCCATTGCCCCTGGGTGGCAATGGGGACAGGACAGCCTGCAAGCTGTGCGTGCTGCGGCTGCTTCTGTGATGACAAGAGCTGATAGGGTGTAGAAACCCCTTCCCCTCATTAGTCTTTGTTGCCACTGGCCGGGATTCCCTTCATCCTTACCCAAGTGAGGCTGTCCCCAGGTATCCCGTGGTGCAGGGAAGCAGCAAGCAGAGCTTTCTGCCACTCCACAAAAACCAAGGCTGTTCTTGGGCATCCTGTAGGGCAAGGGCCAGGGGTGGAGGCGGGCACATGGGCAGAACTCTGATCAGGGCCCCTGACCCCACAAGGATTGGGTCTGTAGATCCCATGACCAGGACACTGGTTCTTGCCAATGTTCTAGCTGTAGGAGTAGGGCTTCTCACCTGGCCATCAGACCATGGGTGCAACCTAACAGCCTGAGCAGTACTGTGGGGCCCTTGGTCTGTGGCCAGAACACTGGGCTGTGTCAGGGGCAGAGCTAGCAGAGCTGTAACACTGGCTGTGCCACCCTGATGGACCCTGACCATCACCCAGCCCCTCTTTCTGGTCCTGCCAACCAGATGGTCAGTGGTGCCAGGCAAGATACAGTTTTTCAGATCGGCATATTTTCTACTGATTTTGCCAAAATTCCTAAGTTTTCTCCTGTGACCACTGAAAATTTCAAATTGCATTTTTAAAATGTCAAAGTGCTCAAGGTTTTCAATGCTGCAGTTCATCTCGTTCTGATCCCAATTTTCAACTAAAAACCAAAGGTTGAAAGCAAATAGATGTTAAAATATTTATTGTGTGAGTTTCTTCCCATGTAGTTAAATCACTGTTTTGCAGTGTGTTGGCCAAGATGATCGCACTTCTTTGTTCACATAAATGTACAGCCACATTACAAAAGGAACGAGAGAAAGAGAAATTGCAACCAACAGCCGAATTCCTCCAAACGGATTTCTAAAAAAAAAAAAAAAAAAAGCAAAAAGCAGTATTGTTATTTCAGACATCTAAACAAACACTCATAAATGTATGGGGTGACATAAGACTTGCTCTCAAGATTTGTCTACACTAGACAGCCTCTGCCACAATAGCTATGTCAACAGTTATGTCAGCAGAACCCCATAATGGAAATGTAATATATGCCAACAGCACAAGTTCTTCTCCTACCAGAACAAGATCACCACCCCAGCCAACAAAAACACTCTTCTAAGGCCATACTTGCAGGAATGTTTAACACTCTGCCCCTTCTTTCAGTAGCTGCACAGAGCTAAAAGCCTGTGCTATACATAGGAATCCAGGCAGCATTACAGGTATTGGAGGAAGGAGGGCACTGTTTTTAATCCAAAGGGCAGAAAAAAAGATAGCAGGATTCAAGAAGCCAATTTTGGGGGATATGATTTCCTCTCTCTCCCTACTTCCATAAAAAGACTCCCCAGGTTTTATTTTTTCCAGATAACCATGTAAGACCAAAAATAAAAACTGATCCGGTTTAAATAAGAAAAACACATAATGCTGCACTTCATAGGAATCAGTAAAGATACAACAATGGCAATAACTACCAGATAGGGAAAAAACTGTATATTTAGTTTCTTTTTAAATAAGGATATCTTTTAGCCCTTAAGAAATTGAGAGCCTGATGGCATTTTCTAATGACAGGAATAGTTACTATGAGCTTGTCCCCAGGGGTGGGAAAGTACATTTCCCTGGGGAAAAATAGAAGTAGCACATATTTGTGCCATTGCAAGTTGCCCCCAGACATGCTGCTGCACATGTATTTTGGCATGTGACTAATTGCCCTGGGTGGATAAGGGGAGTTGGGGCCATCACCTGGGCTAGCCCTGACAGCCTTACCTGGAGTCCTGGGGACCTCCCAGGGCAGCAGGGGCAGTGATCTGGGCATTCAGAGCCTGGCCAGAAGCTGAAGTGTCTCTCTGGCCAGCCAGACTGTGCTTTCTGGTGGTGTACATGCACCACCGTTTTTTTCTGCTGTGGTTTTTTTAAATGCTTATGGAGTAACATACCTAACTCTTCCAAGTTAAATAGTAAAGTAAACTGAGACAGTGATTCTCAACCAGGGTGCCACGGGAACCTTTGAAGGGTACTGTTAGCCATGAGAAAGTAAGCTGATAAATTAAGCAGATAAGCCAGGCTCCAGCTTGCTCCTGTCTGGATGATCCCCCCACCCCTGCTACCCAGCTCCTGTTTAAGGAGGTAAGCTCTGTAATATATAAAATAGTTTTTGAAATTGGTGTCACTCAAGTCACAAAAATTATGGAGGGGTGCCTCAAGTCCAAAAAGGTTGAGAACTGCTGCTTTCAGCACTTGCAAAAAGCTCGTTTTTGTGTCTGGCATGGAGTATTGCGCAGGATGCTCATTCTTGGGTCTTCGCTCTTTAGCTCAGTGCTGATGGAACACCCTTGGCTCTTAAAGCTTTCTAATCCTTGAGGCAACACTAGTAATCAAAGCAAGTGTCATGCCCTCTGGGATTCAAACCCCAGGTCTTCTACTCCCATAGGAAGAGACCAAATGCCAGCACCATCCCAGGTGGCCCTCCCATGAGGCTCCCAGTGGGGAACCAGGAGACCTGGGGGAAACAATAGGAACCATGGGCCCTTGATGTGAGGTCTATCAAATAGGCTATCTGCAAAGCTTCGGTAGCAGATTCAATTTGGAGATTTAGTCCAATTTGATGGCTGAATCTCTGAATCTGAATCAAATTGGGAGACCCATTAAACTCTTCTAATCGAATCAGAAGCCTCTGAATCAGTTCAGAGAAATTTGGAGAGATTCAGCCATAGACTGTACAGGCAGGCACTAGACAGTGCCAGTGGGAGCAGCTAGGGGAGCAGCTGGACGAGCCCTGGCTTGAGCCGGCAGCCCCAGGAGAAGCCATGGCTCCCCCCGGCTGCACCCCACTGGGGCAAGGCAGGCAGCACTGACAGCCCCGGGAGAAGCTGCGGGCCGGTGATCGGGGAGCTGGGGGATTGAACCAGGAACTGGGGAATCAACCAGGAACTGGGGGGGAATGAACAGGGGCTTCCCCCCAGTTCCCAGTTCGATCCCCCAGCTCCCAATAGTTCCCCCCAGGGCTGCCAGCTCAAGTTGCACCTTGTCTGGATGAGGCAGGCAGTGCTGGCAGCCCCGGGAGAAGCCACAGGGGCTGGGGGGGATGATCAGGGAGTTCGGGGAATGATCAAGAGCTAAGGGAATGATCGGGAAGCTGAGGGATTGAACTGGGAGCTGGGGGGAAGCCCCTGTTCGTTCCCCCAGCCCCCAATCATTCCCCCAGCTCCTTGATCATTCTCTCCAGCCCCTGCGGCTTCTCTTGGGGCTGTCAGCTCAAGCTGGGACTTGTCCAGCTGCCCCCTCAGCTACTCCCGCCAGCACTGGCTGCCTGTATAGTTTATGGCTGAATAAGATTCAGTGCTGAATATCTTTGGATTCGGCCAAATTGAATCGGGACAGCGATTCAAATCACCAAGTCGAATCGCTGTCCCTCCAAATCGCCGAATCGGAAGTGAATACTTTCTGCTTCGCACAGGCCTACAGTTCTAGCAAGAGCTTTTTCAGATGTTGCTGCCTTGCATCTCATGCCCACCTGAGCCCTTTATGTCCTTGATCAACTGCTAACCTAACCATAAGCTTGTCTCAGCCCATGACCTGACACCTTGTCAGTTGCATAGATCTTGTTTGCAAGATTATAATTTATTAAACACCTATTTTAAACTGTTTCTACAGATAAACTGGTGGGCAGAACAGGGAGCATTTAACCATAATTCAATAGCCCTATAGTATTTCCCATACAAAGGGCTTAGAAAGACATACTTTGCTGAACTGCGACAGAGACTCATCCATACTACAATAATCACCAGACCAGATAACTCCCTAGAGGGAAAAAAAAAAGTTACTACAGTATTTATGTAGAAAAATAATTAACTGCAAAAGGCACTAGGTGTGCAAGTTCTCTTTCAGAGGAGTTCAGTTATCTTTGACCAGGATCTGAGCTTAAACATTTTTAAGGAAATTTCCCTTCCCTGCACCCAGCAACCTTTAGAAGCTGCAAAATTTTTACTTCTACTTTGTATTCTACTCAGTGTTTTATAGTAAACATCAGATGTTAATTTAATCATGCAATGGGATCTGAGAAATACTATCCTGGATCCCAACAATCACACATCCCACTGTGCCAGATGTTCACCAGCTCCCTATGCCTGATGTTTAGAGCCATGCCATGTAGCCCAAGGCCTGTAGACTGTGGACATATAAGCTACATCATGCAACCAAAGGCCAAGCTGCATGCCACCTGTTCAAATTAAAATGTGACATAAACCAGCCATGTGGCAAGTGGGGTGCTGGCTGCCAGTGAGCAGGGGCTGGCAGAACTCAGTCCCTGGCTGCTGCTGGCACAGAGCAGTCTGCCCAGCCTGGTTGTTGTTGCTGCCGCTAGCACAGCAGTGGCACAGGGGCCCTGTTACAGCCATAGCCCAGGGATGCTGCTATTGCTGCACCACCATGAACTCCCCAGAGCTGCCATTCTGGCACCTTCTCAAAGTGAGTGCCCAGGACTAGTGCTCCACTTGCCCACAGGTGTCTCCCATTTATACAGGAGTCTGAGATATCACTGCTTTTACTCTATACACAAGCAAGCACCTCAGTTATACAAACAATTGAAGGAATATTTGTTTCTTTGCCTAGTGAGAGGTTTCCACCTTCTTCCCCTAGTTCAACAGGAGTGACTCCAAGGGCTTAGCAGAATTCAAGTCCAGACAGACAGGGATATGGTAACATTCAAATACAAGAAACTTGTGAAACTTTCCCAATTTCTAATTTTAAAGTTCTGGAAACAGAATACAAGGGGCTTTAAGATGCATAGTGCCTGTGTTATAGGTTTTCAATGCCAAAATGAATCCTACTCATTGCTGTGGGCTAACCTTGTAGAAAAAACAATGGGTCCAGCCAGTCAGGGGACCTCTCAGTCCCTTCAGTCAACTTTTCACCAACAAATTCTGGACTTGCAATACCATAGCACTGTTCTTCATTGGCCTGACTCCACTTAGTGTTTGGGCTAGTCTCTCATTGCAGCAACCAAACAAGTAAGGCTCTGACTAACTGGCAGTGCTGCAGGACAAACCTACCCCATACACTGGGGTACAAATGTGTACAAAGCAGATTTGTTACTCACCTGCCTTCCTCTTCATGCAAGATATTAGCTTGTGTGTAAGCCAACAAAGAGCACCCCAAGGCAATGGTCCCCATGACACAAGCAACTGAGTGCAGATCAGACAGAGTCCTCCAAACAACATTATCTGGGAAGAAGAATAGATTGCACGACTAACTGTGTAGGAGCATACCACACAAAACGCACCCCCTGTATTTCTGGGACCGTAAGGCAGCGGAGTCAAAGAAAGATGGACCCTTACAACAAAGTGTGTGCTCAATATGGGAGCAGATGTAGGGGTTTTTTTGTTCCAATCCTAAACAGAACTTGTTCCTTTATGGAGCCAAATTTTCGGATAATGAAGGAAAGCAGGCTCGGAAGAACTGCTGAAAAATTCACACCATGGGCAGACAGGAATTCAACTCCACAGCTATGAAGTTGTTTTTCTCCCTAGGAAATACACATATACCCCACTATTCAATAACTTCAGAAAAGACCAATGAAAATGACAGGTTGAAGCCTTATCAAAGCAAGGAACATAATTTTCTCACATCCTATGTCTTCAGGCTCTTGTCATCAAGGAAAGTAGAAAAATCACAAAAGATTAGAAGGGGCACATACATTACATGTTCTTTCCTAAGAGCTGTGGGAGGTAAAGGTGAGCAAATGATGCAAGTGGTTCCTTGAATGACCCCAGGAATAAAAAGTCAACAAATGGAAAACCTTAACATTTCTTCAGAGCAGTGAATATTTGGAAGACTCCAGAAAGGAGCATTACAGACTAGCAAAATAGATTATCTATGTGATTTTTAACTTCGTAATAGGTCTCAATAGTGAACTAACAATTCGCCGAATCTGCTAAACTGGCTATAGCCCTATGGAGGCAGAATCTGGGCCTTCCACAGCTGTGTCAACTACTTAATAGTACAGGAGTTGGCAACCTACTGCCCTCAGGCTGGATCCAGCCCACAAAGAGTCTGACCTAGCTAAGGGCACACAACTGCACAGAACTGCCTGTACCCTCAGCAGCACCTTCCTCCACAGCCCTCCCTAATGCTCTGTCCTGCCTGGACTCACTTTCACTGCAGAGGGCTGGATATCCATTGTGAGCATAAGGGCAGGCAACTTGAGCTCTCTGGGGCAGACCTGCAGCCTACAGCAGGCAATCAGCCTCTCCCTCCATCCCCCCAAACAAAAAAAGATTGCCAATCCATGTCCTAGTGAATTTATTAAAGGGGACAATTTTTGAAGATAAAAATATCTAGGAAAACCAAATGTCTTTGAAACATAGTAGTTTGCTGCAAATAACTTTTAGACTATCTAAATCAAAGGATTGTGGGAAAGCTATTTCTTTTCCCAATGTGTATGCTGTTTGCTTTTCTGTTTATCACAGGTTGGACAAGGATAATAGGCTTCTCAGCTTCACTTTCAGGTTCTCAGGACCATCCAAATGTTGCAATGCTAAAGCTGTAAACAGCATAGGAGAGCTGTGTATTTGTGTGATGTACCCATACATAACTCAGTAACTGTAGTAACTGAGCAGTAACTGTTGTGATTCTGTTTTCTATACACTAAACCTTCACATTTCTGAAGCAAACAGCATTCGGGGAAATAGAGCTGATGCAGCTTGCTGCAGATGAGAAACAATGTGCACGGTCTTCAAGAATTTAATTTTTTGGAATTTTCATTATTTTTTGTTAATCCAAAATAAGATTTATTCAGATAAAATGTAGACTATGTCTACAAAAAATACTTTAAACGAATCAAAGACACATTTCTAATACTTGTAAATGGTATAAATCTTACTGATACTTTCTGTACCAAATTTGGCCTGACATACATACAGCTGTATCAGCCCAAACCAGCAGATAACTTTGCCTAATCAACACAACTTTAAAAATCCCACCATGGCATATTGTAACTGATAAAGAATATATTGCTGTATATGTACCTTGTGCAGTATTCAGAATGCCTGACATTTAACAAAAACTTTGTATCTTCAAAACTAGGTACAAACAATCCTCACAGCCCCCCTTCAAAGGACCATTCCAATTTTACAGATTGGAAAAGAGAGAGTTCAGATGTACTAGTGCCAGTGGCAGAGCCAAGTTTAGAGCACAGACATTGCTGTCTCTCTCCCTCTCATGTTCAGGCCATTCTCTGCATACCAGAACTAAAATATTAGGGTATACATTCAGTAACAAAAATGTTTCCATGTTTTAAATTTTATGCACAGCCCCATGGGCTACATCCATTCCTGAGTTGTCTACCTGCAAACAGCAAGGTAGTTATCATCATTCAGGGGAATGGGAACTTTTGGTACCTGGAGCCAAGGACAGTTGAGCACATTTCCCTGATCAGCCCTGAATTTTCATTTCACTATGAAAGAGAAAGGAAGCTAATTTTCTGGATGAGAAAAGCAAGTTTATTCAGAACACCAACATCATACCTGTAATTGATGGGCTATAGCCCACAAGCAGTGTGAGGGCAGCTGGTACAGAATAGACCACCTGTTAATGAGACAAAAATATCTTGTCACAAAAGACAGGTAGGTGTACGAAGCATCAATACCCCATCCAGATAACTGACACCATGCAGAAAAGCAGGTGATCTGGAGCAGGTGTTGGCAACCTACAGCTCACAGGGCAGATCCAGTCCATGTAGAGATTAGATGCGTTGACAACAGGGTGGATCAGCAGCATGCAGTGGCAAGGGTAACTTTTCCTCTCTGTACCATGCACCTCTGCTGTGTGCATATGATCTCTTCTGCAGTACCTCACCCTCCCTGCTTTGTTCCTAGGGTCATTCTCTCACCACTTTACTACAGCCTCCAGTTATCATTCTGATTGAATCTGGCACTCCCTGTTGCCTTCAACAACAGGAATCGGCAACACATGGTGGTGTAGATAAGCTGAGCTGCTGTAGGGCATGGGGGAGAACAGGAGTAGCACTTGGCATAGTGCACGGAGGGCTGTGGAGCTTGGAGGTGAGGGGAAAAGGCAAGCAGCATCCCACTGTTCTTATAGGTTGCTGACCCCTGATCTGGAATGATTATAATAGAGCTGGAGATAAACAGGCCAGGAGGCGTGTGCCCAAGGAAAAGAAAAAGAAGTGATAATTATTGCTTACTTCAGAGCAAATTGATAGAAGGCAGGGATAAATATTAAAGTGGAAAGAAAAACCATGAAAGTTGCATGTGGACAATCAAACCTGAGCAATTTTTGTACCCCTCCCCTGTAACTGTTAATAGGGAAAATTATATTCCCCAGAGGTGACATTTTAAAAGGGGGACTATTTTTTCTCTGATACTGGATGTAAGCCTCATTTGAAACAGAAAGCAAATATTACCTATTCTAAGCAGAATTTCAGAACCCATTCCAGGTAGCTTGAGATCACTCACACATTAATAACCAGGGCATCAAGGCTTTAGCTGACCCCAACAGAAAGAGCCATTATTAATCTCTGAGAAAGGGGACTGTGAAAGGAAATAGGACAGAAACTTAACTCCAGCATAGCTGCTACATAGGCACCAGCTACATGTAACAGAAGAGAATTTAGGATCATCTCCAACAAAGCATTCCAGATTCCCCAACCGTTGGCATGTGTTTGTAGTCATACTCACTATCCACAGTCCAGCGTCAGGGTCATTTACCTGGAATAACAAAGAGGACAGAGCAGCAGCTTAGACAAACTCTTTACAAGCTCACCCATGAGGTGCTACTTTTAGTTACATACTTATGTTAGTGCTTCCAATTGGGGCAAAACTAAAAAGCACTTTATTGAAGGGAGCCTTCCTAAATCACGCTGCACTTAACTTTGGGGAGGAAAGGAAAGGAAAGATGGGCTGACTAAAGCCTGTATGGGGATTGTCACTGTCATTTGGATGCATCAGATACAGAAAGTACAGAGATCAAAATTTTATTATGCAATGAGCACACTGTTCCCTTGATAAGGCCAACTGGATTAAGGGTAATGCTGGTAGAGAACAGCATGAAGCAACTTTCAGAGTCAATTTGAGCCACCTGGGAAATAGATTCAGTCAAGATAAACTGTCCTTTTGAATGTATAAACTGCAAGTCAGGACAATTTCTGCCATGGACCTACTATTTGACAATGGGAGGTCATTGCTTGTTTCTGTGTCTCAAATGGTCCCTCTGTAAAACCCACCAATTCTTCAGACAAGTTTGAATTTTCTATTATTCTATTCTATTCTTTTTTGATCAAGCATTTGTTAATTTTGTTGTGGAAATTCTCATACTCTCTCAGGTCTTTGCCATTAAGGAGCAACAGTCAACACAAACTCCACCTTGATCACATTCACTCATGTAACATCTGCAATCGGGCAGCTTTCAAACTATACATATATATACACACTGTCTGCTTACAGATGTTAACACTCCCCCCGAAAATGTGCTTTACTTTAAAAACTCGGGGCACCCCCAAGTCAAGCCCAGTGCATGCCCAGAAGAGGCATTGCGTTAGTTGGACCCAGTTCACCCAGCATCTGTATAGATCAGGTGCTTCAGCGGGGCTTTTTTGGCTCTTATCTAATAGCTGATTGAATCAGCTTTAGATAAAAGCACCAAAACCCCCCGCTGAACCACATGATCCATACAGACACTGTGGAGCCAGGTTGAACTAACGCACTGTCTCTTTTGGTAAAGCACTTTTTTTCTTCACATCTGTCATAGAGTTATTCCCTTTTCTAACAGGGAACCTCTGATTCCTATTACTGAGAGAGAACAAAGGGATGCAAACTGTGCTCAGGCAGTCTTAGCCTTTTTGGCTTCTGCCCCTTTTCTCTGGCTGGCCCCTTGCTGTCCAGCCCATCATGCTGGGCTAGGATCCTGGGTCCCAGCCCTGTCAATCCTGGCTTTTGAAGTTTCTGCCCCTTGCCTCCCACTCTGAGTCCCTGACCCGAGTTCACCCCTCGCAGGCTATCGGTCTCTGACCCTTGCTTTGACTCTCACAGGTGTCTCTGTCAATTCAGTATCTTGGGATCTTCACTCCTTGCCCCTCGCTCATGGTTCCTGGCCTCCAGTCTTTGTCCTGCAAAGGCTTTGGGCCTTTGAGCCCAGCCAGTGCCTAGAGCCTGAACCCTGGTATAGCATAGTAATAGGCACTTCTCCTTTTAAAGGGCTGTGACTGCCTATCCTGATATGGCGTGCCCTCCTCTTGACTGCCTGAGCGCAGTTTGCCTCCCTTTGCTCTCTCTCAGGAACAGGTACAGTAGGTTCCCTGTTACACCTTTATCAATATAATCTAATTTAATTGCACAAAGTAAAGCCTAGGGAACTGGCCAGATTCAATAAGTACTTCTGAACTCAAACACTGTACAGACCACTTCCCTGACTTAGCTGTTGCAGCCCTTCCATACACCTATGCCAATCTTGACTCTGAGGGGTCACACTAGTTAGCAGGAGGCACTGGATTCCACTCCTGCCTTTATTTCCAACCTCCATTCACTGGATCTATGGCATATTAAGGGTATGCCATACTTTCACTGACTGAACACCAAAAAAAACAGTTCTGAATGCTACACAGGAGAGATGAGAGAGCAGAGCTGTGCACGGCGCTTATGGGGATGAGGGAAACAGTTTGCATGGGGGAGGGGAGGGGGACAGGAAAGAGCTATGCTTGGTCAAAACTCTAAAGAGTTATGCAGTGACTGCAGTTCCTCTCCAACATGCTCCTCTTCTCAGAGGGAGGCTAGAGAGAAAGATTAGAAAGAACGAACCTTGACAGGATAGTTCAAGAAGCCCAAGCCCCTAGAGAAGAAACCAAGCCTAGGCACCAAGATCAGGACTAAGCAACACAGCATCCTACTTCCTTGCTCTGCAGAATGCAATTCTCCTGCTCAGGTATACTGTGGGGTACAGCTGTACTGCTACTCAGCGCATCCACACGTGGTGGATAATGGAATGACCTTCAGGGAAGGTTAACTGAAATAAGCAGGGGTAACTATGTTGTGGACCAAGCAGCAGCAGCACCACCACCAGGATGTGGTGAGAACAACAGATAGCAATGGTCTCCCTCCTGAAAAGTCACATATATCCTTGGATGGTGCTGTAACATGGCAAGTACAGGTAGGTCCTCACTATAAAAGCCTGCCCAGCCCCCAGCCATGGGTCTACAAGTCTTCAACAGCAGAGCAAGCAGAAGATGATGTTAGAATCTCAATGGCTACAAAGGTGGACAAAGGCTGCTGCAAAACAAGATCCCCAGTTGTCTTGATCTCCTTGCCATTGGATCACAGTCCCATTCTGTCAAGAGCCATGTGGAAGTTGATATGCAGCAGCTTCTCCACGATAAAAGAAGTCACACCCAGGTATCTTCCGTGAAAACAAATTTTCCAGCACATCCAAGCCCTTTGGTGACCAGCTAATGATGATGGGAGTAGAATTCTAAGGTCTGGAAACTCCTAGTCATGAACTGGCATGAACGCGGCAAATACAAGAAAGTCATCTAGCACTTGGATGAGACAGGAGTATGATTTGACAGCTGTAACTGACTGAACAGCCCTCTTCAGGATCCACTCTATTCACCCGACATAGGGAGGGCACTAGAAAAGGTGTCGTAAAAATAACCTAATGCAGTATTCTGTATTTCTTCCTGACCAGATAATTGCATCCAGTGGGATCACCTTTACTGAAGTTGAAAATACCAGCAAAGATGCACTATCATGTTCGGGACCTGGAACATCAGGACCCTCATGGACAACCCTAATAGTGAACGTCGAAAAAGCTGCACTGCAATCATGGCCTCAAAACTCAGACAACATAACACTGATGTAGCTGCACTAACAAGACCCAGCAAGTGGAAGATGGGCAGCTCAAAGAACCTGGAGGTGGCTATACTTTCTTCTGGAAGGGTAAACTGGAAGGAGAACACTGGCTTCACGGACTTGGTTTTGTCATCAAGAATGAACTCATAAGCTAACTCAATGAGTTTCCTATTAGAATTAATGAGCACCTTATGACTGTCCGTAGTAAACTAGCAGGGCGCCAATATGCACATAGGCCCTGATTCTTGACAACGTTGATGAAAACAAGGAGGAATTCTGCGTCAACCATGACCAAGTCCTTTCTGATGTTCTGGAGGGAAACAAACTTATTCTTCTTGGTGATTTCAACGCCAGAGTCTGAAGGAAGTTTAACCTCTGGAATGGAACCATCAGCAAGAAAGGAATAGGAAAGGTCAACTCTAATGGCATCCTCTTGACCAAATGTGAGGAATATGGACTCACCATCCGGGGAATCTCGTTTTCTCTGTTTAAAAATCCCAAATTTTCTGATTCTAACAAAAAACCCACAAAATTCTCTGCTTAAAAACCCCAAATCCACATTTTTCCATGATTAAAATTAAACACTATATATATATTAGTTGAACACAATGTTTTACTGATATATTTACAATTTTAAAGCAATTTGGAAGCCTACCAGTGCCTCAATCATTATAATAAAAATACATTCTAAATACCTATATATTTTGGTATTTGATTTTGGGGGTTTTTTATCATAGAAAATCAGAGCTCCCCCTACCACCTTTGCTCACCAGGACATGGATCCAGCTGTAGCTGTCCCCGCTCTGAGCATCCCTGATACGCTGGTGCCCTGCCCCTGCCTATGCCATTGCCCCTCACTTCCAAGCCATAGCCACTCCAGCCAATGCCTCTCACTCCCAACCTGTAGCACCCTGAACCTGCTGGTGCCCCTCACTCCTGACCTGCACCCCGCCCCTAGCCCTGCCGGTGCCCCTCACTCCCAACCCACAGCCTCTGCCCCCTCAGCCTTGATGATTGCCTTTCACACCCAACCTGCAGACCCCATCCCTGCCAGTGCCCTTCATTCCTGACCTGCAGTCCCCTGCCTCCCCCAGCCCTGCTGGAGGGGCCCCCCCAACTACCAGGGCTACAAGGCAATGTTTGCTGTACTGATCATCAACTCATCCACCCAGTTACGTCACTCAGACTGGCTCCCAAATGATGGCAAAAGCAATGCCAACGGAAGATCAACTTTGAAGGACTCAAGGACCCAAATAAGCGAGACCTCCTCCACCCAGTGCCTCAATGAAAAACTGGGTAATTCCAATCAACAAAGGGAGAACGTCAGCAGTGTGTGGGGTGCCTGACTATCCACCACAGGAAAGATTACTGTGAGAACCCTCCTGAACCATCTCCTTCCACTTACTGAACAGCTGCTCCCAGAATCTCAGTGTGGGTTTAGGCAATCAAGTGGCACAAGTCACATGATCTTCAAAGCTCGCAAGCTGCAGGAGAAATGCTGGGAACAACATAAGCCTCTCTACATGGCCTTCTTTGACCCCATGAAAGCCTTAAATTGTGTCAGCTGAGAAGTGTCGTGGAGCACCCTTCTGAAGCGTCGTGGAGCACCCTTCTGAAGCATTGATATCCACTGAAATTTGTCACCATTTTCTGCCTGCTCCATGATAGTATGTGAGCAGTTCTCAGTAACAGATCTATCACAGATCCCTTTGAGGTTAAAATGAGAGTTAAGCAAGGCTGCATCATCACTCCAACACTGTTCTCAATATTATTTGTCGTGATGTTATATTTGACTATCAACAAGCTTCCAGATGAAGTGGAACTAAACTACCAAATGGATGGTAAGCTGTTTAACCTCAGCTGACAGCCAAAACCAAAACCACCCCAATCTCAATCACTGAGCTTCTGCATGCTGGTGATGCTGTAGCATGTGCTCACTCGGAAGCAGACCTTCAGGCAATCATTGACTTCTTTACTGAGGCATACAAGAAAATGGGACTGATGCTTAACATTCAGAAGACTAAAGCCCTCCACCAGCAAGCTCTTAATGAACAGTTCCCAGCTCTGGTAATCCACATCCATGGTAAGACTCTGGAGAATGCTGAGTATTTCCTGTACCTTGGACATCATTTCTGGCAGAAAGCTGACATCACTGAACAAATCCAACTTTGCCTCAAATGTGCCTTTAGACACCTGAAGAAACAGGTGTTTGAAGATCACTCCATCAGTTCTGAAACCAAGCTCACGCTTTATGAAGCAGTTGTGATCCCCAACTTGTCATATGGAGCTGAGACATGGACAATGTACAGGACACACCTAAAGTTGTTGGAGAAGTACCATCAACGCTACCTACGGAAGATCCTCCAAATCCAGTGGGAAGCTAGACGCACCTATGTTAGTGTCCTCCTGCAAGCAAACACCACAAATATTAAGGTGATAATCATCCAACATCCACTTGGTTGGGCTGGCCACGTCATTTGGATAGCCGACTCCAGATTCCTGAAGCAGATTTTATTTTCCCAGCTCATCCCAGGCATATACCCAAATGGAGGACAGAAAAAGTGCTTCAGGGATGCCCTCAAGGCCAACTTAAACAACATTGCTATTAACTTGTGGGAGACCATCACCCAGGATGGCCCCAGATGGAAGAAGAGTCTGCTGCACAGATCTCAGTACTGTGAAACCTTGTGACAACAATAACTCTCTGGAAATCTTCAAGAGGAGACTAGACAGTCACCTCGCTGGGGTCACCTGACCCGTTGTCTTTCCTGCCTGGTGCAGGGGGCCGGACCCAACGATCTTCCAAAGTGCCTTCCGGCCTTACAATCTATGAGACACCAGGAGATGAAAAAGTGGGAGCCGCAGAAATAGCCTGTTGGCGACCAAATCAAGAAGCCAGCGCCACCCACCCCACTGGAGATACATGTGGGAGCTGCAACAGAGCATGCCAATCCCCACCAGCCTCAGCAGCTAGCTTCAGACACACAGGTAAGACGGTCACAGAAAACAATCATCCTCCACTGCCAGGGGCTGCCGAAGAGGGGACACAACCAGGCACCCGAGGCAGGCCGGCGTCCCGTCCGCTGGCGCAGAGCCGCCTTCTTCAGGCGTTGGCTGGTGCCCAGCAGGGAAAGCAAGGTCTCCTCCCAGCACCCGGACTTCATCAGCCTCCTGCCCACGGGCTGCGGCCTGCGCTCAGCATAGGGAAGGGGCTCGCTCCCCGCCG